TGTTTGTATTGAATATATATTCAATACACACGTGTATCGAACAATACCGATTTTTTACATTTTTTTTTATCAACTTGTCTTCTGAATATGCTCTGTGTTAAAGGATCGGTGGATCTGTGTTCGACTACTCCACCTAGGCTTCATTTTCGAGCACAGATCTACAGAGAAACTTGCTGTTTCAGCAACATTTAATTTACAGTACAAACTATTTTCAGGTTAAACAAATGTCCATTATTAATTTTAATAAATTACAAGTTAAAAATGGCATGGACATTTCTCTTTTTTGTATGGAAAATATATCGAACCGTGAGACTAAAGTATTGAACCAAACCGTGAATTATATGTATCGTTGCACCCCTATAATTAACCAMGAATAGAGTGGATGAGATTTAATTTCACATGTCAGGAAAAAGAAATTAAAATTTAATAAGTGAACAAAACCCACCAATCAGCTGTAACATCACAACCATCACCCAGCAGTATCTCTCTCTCAATCCTATTTATCTGTCTCTTCTTTACATTGCACTGTCAGCTCTATAGAGCACTTGTGGTCTGACATACACACACACACAGAGTTGTGTTGTCTGGTCAGTTAAGAAGATGAGTGCTTTTGCCGTACTGAGCTCCAGCAGAGTTCAAGAAGTGAATGTTATCATTAGCCTCTTGCTGTTATTGGAGTGTTTTTATTTTGCACAAGTGCTGCTAGTAATGTTGGGATTAAAATAGAATTTGTGGCGGGGATAAATTAGCACAAAATGACATTGCACTGATTCATAATGCTAAAATATATAAAAATATATATTGCAGAGATATCCCTCCTTTATGATGATTAAGACTTTCTTAAATAAGTGTACTTTTCTTCCCATTAAAAAAACCACTTCTTTTCTTCACCAGGTGATGGACACGTTGCATTAACGAGTGGCATTTGGACCTGTGCGAACGCTTGTGGAGCCTCATCCTGGTGATCAGTCGTCTCTTCAGTTCCCAGCCTCCTGCGAGACTCTTCCTTCACCACCTCCGAGCCTCCAACAGATCGTTCTCGTCACCAGGCACTTCCCCATCAGACGCCCCGACATCGCCTCATCCCCACCTCCCTGAGAGGGAGCGAACAGCAGCCGCCATGGTGCTGTCACAGAGACAACGAGATGAACTGTGAGTGCAGTTATTCCAGGGATCACAGATTTGTTGCAGACAAGCACAGACATGTGTGTAATGTTAAAATATGCATATATGTGTCAGCTGTGGTTTAAATTCTTACCAAAAAGCTCAAATGTGCAACACATGGTTTCTGTTTCATGTTTGAAAGCAGTGGGACTTGTTGAGTTGTGAACAAGTCATCCAGAAAAGGTTGAAGGGGATGAGAAATCAGTAAGGAGATGTGAGCTGAAGGTGCTGCTTGGTGAATATTTCATAACCAACATGAGCGAAGAACTGAGGGGGATGGGTAWCTAGAAGGAACTTGAAGTGATGGCTGGTTAGCATGAGCAGCTTTCTACAGAGATTACAGCTTTAACTTCACACTTATAGTCTAGACCAGTGGTTCCCAAACGTTTTATCTTCTGACCCACAAAATAACAGTAGCACAGACCTGTGCCCCCAGATATTTTTGGATGATAAACATTTGTATCAGGTCAACAAAAMGTGGGCATAGTAACAATGTTTTTATACTACATTTATCCATTTTAAATACATTAACCTCACTCCTTTGTAACAACTAAGGCAAAAATGTAATTAATTCAGAAAATCTTTTCAGGACCCCACCTTGATGTTTTGGGTCCCGACCCCAACTTTGGGAAACACTGGTCTAGACTGCACCCTTTTGTTATAAATACAGTTGTGTACAAAATGTTTGTGTTGTATATTTTAACGTTAAAGGTTTAGTCAAGGATAATTCTGTAGACATCCAGCTTCCAGTGACGGTCTAATGTTTGAGTCTGCAGTAGCGAGTTAAATTGAGGTCACTGTTACTGTAAAATGAGCCCTGAAGCTTTACACTAAATTTAGCATTTACTCATGAAATATTCACCCTCGAGCTCCTAAAAAGTCCCATTCCACTATTTACACAAGTGTCTTTGTAGTTTTTTTGTGTCTGTGTTTTGGATTGTCGTCCAGCTCCTAGATCAATAATCAGTTTTTGCTGCCAGTTTCTGCTTTCATAGAAAAAAAAACACTTTCGCTAAAACTAAATAGGCATATTTTTGTTCCCCATCTTAAGAGTTGTAATTTATTTCAGCTATTTGGATTTACTGACCTTTTAAAATCAATCTCCCTTTTTAACGTGGAGCTACAAATAAATAAATAACTTTTCTGAACGTTTAATTAACCACAGTTTCAGAAAAAAATGCATCACTACAAAACTTTAAGTACGGCAGCATCATGCCATCGTGAGTTGTGTTGAAATAGCACAAATTAACAACTCTGTTTTGTTTTGTTCTTTTAGAAATCGTGCTATAGCTGACTATCTACGTTCCAATGGATACGAGGAAGCTTATTCTACTTTCAAGAAAGAAGCAGAATTAGATATAGTAAGATGAAATAAATTCATATTCAATTAAAACAAACCAACAAACATTACTTTCACATTGAGGAGGCAGTCTCTTTCATTGTGTTTTTGCTTTGCTTGYAGAATGAAGAGGTAGATAAGAAGTATGCTGGGCTTTTGGAAAAGAAATGGACCTCTGTTATCAGACTACAGAAGAAGGTAAGCACCATGTCTGCACCTTTATGTTTTTATGTTGATTACTGTCTGCAGTTATTTTATGGGTGAATTATTTATGGTGTTAACCCTATAAATGGCTGCATATCACTGTTTTCTTCAATGATTAGATGAAATCCTTCAGTTTAATGTGAACTCAGGTTGTTTCTGTTTAACTTTTATCAGCGTGTTTTGAAATGTTTRTTCTCCAGGTGATGGAGTTGGAATCGAAGCTGAATGAGGTGAAGGAGGACATGACGTACGGAGGACCTGTGGGTCAGAAGAGGGACCCTAAGGAGTGGATCCCCCGCCCACCGGAGAGATACGCCCTGAGTGGGCACCGTGCTCCAGTCACACGGGTCATATTCCACCCTGTGTTCAATGTCATGGTCACAGCCTCTGAGGATGCTACCATCAAGGTGTGTGTCCGTGTTTTCAACATCCTTTACTGGTATTTTTATAGCTACGCTGAAATACACCAGCTCCTCTGGATGCAACGTTATCAGTTTATGCTCCAATCTGTCTCGTTATAGTTACGGTCAGAGTACACAAATAAAAACACTTAGTTTTGCTTTTTTGGAAAAATTGTACACATAAAAAGTGCACATACTCATAATCTTTAACTAGAGGCAGTATTGTTAGTTTTCAGTAAAACCTTAAATTTTTGTGAAACAATAACCTGTGTTTTTTTTATCTGAATGAAGTCCACTGCAGTTAAATGTGGCTAGTTTTGCTAGTTTCAGTTAGGAATTTAGAAAGTGGCTCACTGATAGTTTCTCTGTCTTCATGGTTTTTAGGTGTGGGACTATGAGGCAGGGGACTTTGAGCGGACCCTCAAAGGCCACACAGACTCTGTACAGGACGTCTCGTTTGACCATACAGGGAAGCTGCTGGCTTCATGTTCGGCCGACATGAGCATCAAGCTTTGGGACTTTCAGGGGTTTGAATGCATCCGAACAATGCACGGTGAGAATGAAACATGTTTTACCTGTTATTATCATTTAAATTTGTGGAAAAAATGTAGATTTTTTTTCCAAATCAGTCATTTCATACAAGAATCAAACTTTTAAGCAAGATTTTTAAAGTGTTAATGAAAAAAAGAAATTCCAATGAATGCGATGCTTATTTTTAGTTTTTTTGGTCTTCAGTTATTTTGAATTCTTTATTGGGCTTATTTTGAACACAGAAAATGGTGCAACACAGGTTAATGATGTAAATTGTCTTTCAGGTCATGATCACAATGTGTCATCTGTAGCCATCATGCCAAACGGTGACCACATAGTGTCTGCCTCCAGAGACAAGACCATCAAGATGTGGGAGGTGGCTACTGGGTGAGTGAGAGGAAGATGTGGATTTTCTCTCTGATGCCAGAGAAATGTTGATTTTATTTTAAACTGTTTAAATAAAACAGTTGATAAAAGTGTAAGTAATGTTATGTTCTTTATTTTTTTTGCTGTGCAGGTACTGTGTAAAGACATTTACAGGCCACAGGGAGTGGGTGAGGATGGTTCGTCCAAACCAAGACGGTTCATTGATCGCTAGCTGCTCTAACGACCAGACGGTGCGCGTTTGGGTGGTCGCTTCGAAGGAGTGCAAAGCTGAGCTGCGGGAGCATGAACATGTGGTAGAGTGTATTTCCTGGGCACCTGACAGCGCTCACCCCACCATCCTGGATGCCACAGGCGTAGAGGTAAATATCACTGACGCAACATCTGACACTTAGCTCCTGAAATGCAGATTCAGCTGCAGGCTTTTAGATGGCAAACCGTATTCACTGCTGTCCTCGTTTGATACACATTAATAAAAAAATAATACTGTTAGTAGCTCTTTTAAGCTGTAACTGAACTACAATACAAATTTCAACATATTTTCAGTAGATTTATTGTTTGCTTTCTTTCCTGTTTTAATTTGTGTAACATTTGCTGAACAGCAGCAAATCACAATTAAGTTGATGAGGATCATCTTAAGTTGAGTTAGCAGTTAGTTTTACAAAAACACAAATAAAATATCTGAATTAATCAAAACGACCCAAAAACTTGACTTAGACACTTTTCCCCCAAAAAATCTGAAAGGCTTTCTAAAATACAGATAAAAACAAGGTGCGGTAAATTACAAATCTTTTTTGTTTTTGTTAAAGGCCAAGCTGTTATCGTGGCTGAAAAATGACTAATAAATCCTTTTAAATATGTCAAACTAAACCGTTGGTCTTTGTATTTGTCATACCTTCAGTTTCTGTGTTTTTTTTTGTCCCAGAACAAAAAGAGTGGAAAGTCCGGTCCCTTCCTTCTGTCCGGTTCTAGAGATAAAACGATTAAGATGTGGGACGTCAGCACGGGGATCTGCCTCATGACTCTGGTGAGTTTGTATATGTGGTGGTTTCATGATGGGCTCGGCGTTGCTGAGAGTGTGGTGAGTAATCAGTCCCGTATATCCAGGTGGGACATGACAACTGGGTGCGTGGGGTGCTGTTTCACCCTGGAGGACGGTTTGTAGTGAGCTGCGCTGATGATAAAACCCTGAGGATCTGGGACTACAAGAACAAACGCTGCATGAAGACTTTGTCTGCCCACGAACACTTTGTTACTTCTCTGGGTGAGGCTCGCTTTATGATGGCGACAGATTTAATCTAACCTGAAATAGGCTTACTTTGATATCAAWAGGATTTAGTTTAAACAGATTTTCCTTGTTTTTCAGATTTCCACAAGTCTGCTCCCTACGTGGTCACAGGCAGCGTTGATCAGACAGTGAAAGTCTGGGAGTGTCGCTGAGACTGCCTCCACCTCTCATCCTGCCCTGCTTCTACCAATTCCAMGAAGAAAAAGAAAAAACGCCCCATCCACATGCTTCCCAGCAGCTTTCTCCTTCTGTCCTGATGCCCCTCCCACAGCCCCGCCTCCTGCTCTCCAAACCATAGTTGACCAAGACGTTCCTCCTTGTCCCCCTCTCCTCTCCTCTCTCCTCCCTACATCTTTCCAGCCCTATTAAGATGACTATTGTCCTTTTTGTGTAAATTATTCTGGATGTAGGGTACGCTTAATAAATGTCACACAACCTCTGACACACAAACACTCGAAACGATGAGAAGCAGCTTTGCATGGTGATTCCAACGACAAACACTCTTTAAGTCTGCGAAATAAACATACTGTCGTCATAACTTCCCATTGAGTCAAAGGGTAAATATTATACAACAAACTGATCGCACCCCTTCCTGAAGTGGGGGTTGGTTAGGCTGTTTAGTTATGTTGTGCTTCATGCCTCCATTTTTTTTTTTTCTTGGGGGGGTGAAGTGCCCCAAAAAAAATCTGTCCAGAAGAGGGTGAAGAAAAACCAGAATTAAGCAGCTTCTTAGCTGAATCACGAGGTTCTGTGGGTGAGTGCATGTGTACATGTGTGTGTACGTTGTGTGAGTGTGTGTGCCGACAGGAGAATCTATCCACTACCTCTCTGCTCTGATGGTGAGATGAGAGAGTGCTGGCAAAGCTTCTCGCCTACCGTGTCCTTTCATAACTTCATCTCTTTTAACAAGGTTGTGTTCTAGACTCTCACTGGATCGTAGTGATCTGTACGCTGCTGTGAGCACAGACACGAGCCCCTGAAGTCTGATTTATAGAGGGGAATCGTTTCACCTTTTTATGAGGTTTGTGTGTGTGTGTGTCGCTCTAGACAAACTCTTGCTCGCTATCTTTGCCTTGTTAACCCATCCAGGGCTCCTCAGACGGGATTTTTATTCAGCTTTCTGTGGTCTCACTGCTCTCTACACACACTCAAACACTCACGCACAGTAAAAGTTGTGTATCATATATATCTGGATGTCATTGTTTGCAGCGTAATGAAATAAAAAAAAGTCTGTAAATATAACTTCTCTCTTTGTAAATGTTTTTTTAAGAAAGGAAAAACGAGACGAAGAGCTCAGGCAGTCAAAAAGGATTTGAAGTGATGCTTGCATTAATTTATGTTGCTGAAAAAGAAGTGTATTATGGTGGGGTTTAATTTAAATAAGCCTGTTTACCTTCATCAGGTGCCATTTAAACGTGATTTTTTACAGTTTTAATTGTTAAAAATGGTTTACCCCATAAAGTTAGTGCAGATTTAAAGTTTATCATCCATGTACCTCTGTCCTCCCTCCCCTCTTAACTGCATCTATATGTTTCCTCTCTTTCCTGGCAGCTGCATGTCTAGCAGCACATCGACATTCAAATTTTCAGAATCGCCATTATCAACCAAGTTTGTGTGCACAAACAAAACTGACCTGTTTCAAACACTCAGCGAACTTGTAGTAGAAACAGAATTAATTTAAAAAATAGACTTGTTTAAAAAATTGTTTTTCTATTTTTTTACAGTATTATGTAACATTTAAATTTGAAAGCTGTGTAATTTATTTGGAAAATAAATGGGTAAAATCAGAAATTCTTTAATATTTAATATGAACAGCAACGGGTAACTAATTATAAACTAATAATTTGTGTCATTTATAGAAACAGTAGAAAGCAGTAGGGTAGAAAGCGGTGTTGTATAAAGTACCACAAAGTGATACTTGAGTAAAAATACAAGTATCTTACCAAAAAATTACTTTGGTAAAATTTAGATTCCTTTAGGAATATTACTTGAGTTAAAGGATTAAAGTATCTGCTATTTTTTGTGCTTGAGTATTAAAAGTAAAAGTATTTATTTAAAAGTAGCAGTTAGATTTTCTGTAAGGACATTTGTTAAAAGGTGACCTCCCAAAAAAATACAGAAATGACCAAGTCGTATTAAAATAATTTATGTTCAATTTAGGATGCACTAGTCCAGCTGTTTCAGTTTATACACATATATCAAAGGTGCCCAAAACTTTTTCTCCAAAATAAAAATCTATCTGAGGGCTGCGGCCAAATGCAATAAAATATTTCATGACATGCAAGTACCTTCTCTACTTTTAAAAATACATACAGTATGTCTGCTATGTCCTGCTGGAATGTGACATGATTTGTTTGTGTACAAACTAATACACTATCAAAGGACTGTACTTAAGAAGTATTTGTATTTCATGAAATATATTATTGCATTTGGCCGCAGCCCTCAGATAGATTTTTATTTTGGAGAAAAAGTTTTGGGCACCTTTGATATATGTGTATAAACTGAAACAGCTGGACTAGTGCATCCAAAATTTAACATGAATTAATTATTTTAATA